AAAATGAGGAGCAAGAATATCCAAGTCAACAAAATTAGAAATGAAAAAGAGGACATAAAAGCAGACATCAAGGAAATCCAGAGAATCATAAGAACATACTTTAAAAACTGGTACTCCACCAAATTGGAAAATCTAAAAAAGTGCATAATTTTCCCAATATATATCACTTATCAAAGTTAAATCAAGATAAGTGATTTACACAGACCTATAGCCCCTAGTGAAATAGAAGCAGTCATGAAAATCTACCACCACCACTACCACCACCACCACCACCAACAAAAGCCCAGGTCCACATGATATTAACACAGACTTTCAAAGAAGAGTTAACACCAATATTCTTCAAATAATTCCACAAAATAGAAAGAGAAGCAACATTGCCCAATTCATATTACAAGATCACAGTTACCCTGATACCCAAACCACATAAAAACCCAACAAAGAAAGAGAATTAAAGACTAAGTCTTGAGTTGTATAAGAAAGTAGCTGACGAAACCACAAGGAAGAAGCCGGTAAGCAGCACTCTTTTTCAGTTCCTGCCTCCAGGTTCCTGCCCTTTGATTTCCAGCCTTGGCTTTCCCTCAATGATGGACTATGATCAGGGTGGAGGTTTCTTCTTCAAGTTGCCTTTGGTATTGTTTTATCACAGCAATAGGAAACAAAGTAAGACCTTCACAGAACTCCTGACTTTTGCCTCAGAACTCTCTCTTCCTTGCCAAGTTAGCCTAATGACTGAGAATTTGGGCCCAACTGGGAATCTTTAGCTCCTCTTCAAAACTCTGCATGTCTGTTATCTCACTACCATCCCAAGGCTGAAGTTGGGGAAACCCCCAGGTCAGTTGGAGGCCATTTGAGTGTGACCACAGGTTCAGGGTCTTTGTTGAAGCCACCTACTAGCCATTGGTCACCAGAGGTCTTTTTTTTTTTTTTTATAGCTCTAAGACTGGATTTCAGAGGGGCCATCTAGAGATCCAGAATTTCAACCTAACTGGAAGAAGCACCAGCCTGGCAACACAGTGTCTTCAGCCTTGGAAAGTAGGGTAGAGACTACCTTCTGTTGTTTTCTAAGCATCGCTCAAACTCAGTGAGAGGGGAATCTGACTCTTTCAGCTTTTGAAGGGAATCCTGCCAGGTTATGGAAAGCTCTCTCTGGGTAGGAAGGGCCTCAGTTGTGTCAGCCTTTACCTTAAAAATTTGAAGGTTAAGACAGGAAGAGGAAGGCAAAGGGAGGCTGTATGTTGGGAGCTGACAGGCTCAATGATAGGAGATTCAAACTTGACCCTGCTTTCTTGTGTGATCTTGAAAGACAACACACAAGGCCCAGAGTCCATACATGTCTAAGCTATATCAGAATTGCCCTAGGTGTTCCATTTTCAACTCTTTGTCTTCCTGGCTGAGATCCCAGAAACCACTGAACAGTTAACTCTCCAAATTTACCCATAGGCCACCAAATAATAAAATGGTTTTTTTCTGCCTCTAATTTGGAATTGCTTATTACATAGAACACACAGGCAAACCATATTTCCCAAGCTGCATGTTGCATCTTCTGATCCAAAGTTCTCCTGTAGTTCATAATTTTCCCATCTCTGACTGCTTCTGGCTCCTCACTGTTGGAGAGGCCCATCTTAGTGTTATGGATCCAGAAAAATGAGATTCTTAGGTTTTAGTGTCTAGTCCAACCACTTGTTTCATACTTGGTAGACAATAATGTGGAGTAATTTACTACCTAACACACCTTTGGGCAAACTTAAGTCCCATTTCAAAAATACTAACATACTTTATTAGGTTGTTGAAACAATTAAACACTGCGTGATAATAACTGCACTACGACTGATGTATGCATTCTCATAACTAGCCCTTTTCCCACATACTTGACCTTACAGCATATATGCATTTTAGTCCTGTCTTCAAGTCCTATTTGCTTCAGAGAAAGGTGAGGCATTCACCCAAGAGGGAATGATTAAACATGCTCTACAGGCTGGGTCCTAAGGGCTCTGGTGTATTGCACGCATGTGTGCGTGCATGCGTGCGTGTACACGTGCGATGGAGTTGAACTTAATATATGCAAAGCACATGCTCACCTACTGGGCCACAACCCCAGTTCTAGAATGTTTTTAATGTTATAAAGAACTTAGAGGAGCAATGTGGAACCCTGGAGAAAGGGATGAAGTCAGCTGTGTGTGATCTGGAGATTTTTTTTCTGACAGCATTTTTATCGACTATTTGGAAATTTCACACAATGCATCCCCATCACACCCACTTCCCAGGTCTGCTCCCTGCCAGCAAGATCTCATCTCCCCCCACCCCACCCCCAAAAAACCCAAAAAAGCAAGTCTAATTTGTGTTGCCCACATATTCACTGGAGATAAAAACAACAACAACAAAACCCTATTTTTTACTATGTGTGCCTGTATGGGTATGTACAAGTACAGGTGCCAAGGTGTTACATTCCCTGGGGCTGGAGTTATAGGAAGATTTGAACCTCCAAAGGAGGATGCTAGGAACCAAGCTGGGGTCCTCTGCAAGAGCAAGAACTTTTAATCATCTAGTCACCTTTCCAATCCCCCAAAGTTGTTATAGTTTCATTGTAACTATACACCATGGCATACAGAAGACAACTTGCAGGAATCACTTCTCTTTCTCCATCATGTGGGTCCTAGGAGTTAAACTCAGAGGTCAGTAGGCTTGGTGGTAGGCCCCCTTTACCAGTATTGCTAGCTCTTCTTTATTTTTTGACTTGGACAATTTTTGAAATCAAATGTGAAAGTGGGCATCAAACACATGCCCTGGTGTTGCCAGTGTTTTGTTGTTTAACAAAGTGATGAGCAACTAGCTGGGGGAACCTCTCTCCCTTAACTGGTTCTTTAGGAATAATGTAAAGCCAGAGAATATTCCCATATATCCCTGGATTCACTAGAGACTTCTAGACCTCTGGGCCTCCAGTGATTCCTGAAGATTCTCTGCCATCTGTATTCTGAACCATTCCATCTCTGTGACTTAAAGGAATGATCTGTTTCCCCAACTCACCTGGAACCCAGGGTCCAAGGACTCCAGCCTTGCATAGATCTGCCAGGACTGTTTGATAAGACATTCTGTTTTAATGTTGCTCATTTAAGCATCAGATCAGCATATTCTCAATTAAGCAAGTGTATTAGGGTTCTTTAGAGTAATGGATCTGAGTCTTTTTCCTCTCTCTCATATGTATATATAAATATACAAACACACATACATTTATTAGAATGACTTACAGGCTGTGGTCCAATGCTACAAGCTGCAAAAATACACAATTATGACAAAGGTAATACCTGGAAGAAGCCAAGGGCCTTCCAGAGGCCAAGCTGAGGCTCAAGGGGCCTTGGTGATATTTGGCTTTTGATTATTAGCTGTTTCCTGCTGAGTTTCTTGTGTGCTATTGTCGCTTTTCTATAATTTATTGGGCACCATTTCCTTTCTTTTTTCCTTTTTTCTTTTTATTTATTTATTTTTCAGAGCTGAGGACTGAACCCAGGGCCTTGAGCTTGCTAGGCAAGCGCTCTACCACTGAGCTAAATCCCCAACCCACCATTTCCTTTCTACTAATGGAATATTTAGATAATCTTCTGTGCTGACAGCTATGCACAGCCAGAACCCCAGTTCAAGCCTCCCTGTAATTATTGTCATTGGCAGCATCTGGCCAGGTCCATCCCTGGAGGGATGAAAGTATCTTATCAGAGATACCTCTGTATTCTCTAAGAACAGACTTAAGCATCCAAGACCAAACAAAACAACACCCATCTCCTGGGTCAGGCGAATAGCTTTATTTTTTGTGCAATTTAGGGTGAGACCCTCCTTTCTTACAGCCTTACTAATATTATAGACTCCTAACTCCTTACCTAACCACTTCTAGGAATGTAGTTTGAGCACACAGATTCCCTTTTCTGATGTAGTAACTGGTCATTAGCTTGCAGGTGACCTCCTCCTTTACCACTCCCCTTTTGGGTTGTAAAAGAAAGTCTGACAGCCACTGTCTGAGGAAAATTCTTACCTCCCTTTATGACCCTGTAGGAATTCAAGCCTGGTGACCTGGCTGGAGGGGGAGGATTGCTATGGCTTGGGTTTATAACTGAATTCCCTAGAGAACTTGAGAATGAAGAACTGAGGGGTATAAGAGATTCAGAGGAGGAATTTGAGAGAGAGAACTTGAGGACGAGATGGAAAAAAGAGAATGGAAGAACAAGATGGGTAGGAACTGGAGAGGAACAAACTAGGTAGGAAAGAACTAGATTGAAGGCCTTGAAGAGAGTACTAGAGGAATGAGATGGAAGATGAGGAAGAGCCAGATGGGGAGGAACAAGATGAGGGAGATAGGAGAGGAGCTAAGATGGAAAGGAACTAGATGGATGAAAACCTAGATGGGGCAGAATAATATGAGAGAATTAAGATAGAACTTAAAGAGGGGACAGCAGATAAATGTAGACAGAAATCAGGTAAGGAAGGAGCTAGGCATGAGAACAGAATAGAAGCTGCGTAGAGAGAGAACTGACAGAATAATAAAGTGTATGGATTAAGGAGTTTCATGTACATAGATTCATTTCATATCATCAAAGATTAATTATCAGCTGGTTGTAGATCCTTCCAAGACCCTGGGAGGGGACTACCAAGGGGCTGGACCCCCATAGTCACCAATAGTCCAAAAAAGGCTGTCTACCAATGGAAGGTCCAATAATAGAGTTCAGTTCACAAGGCTGGATGTCCAGCTGGTCTTTAGTACATGCTAGAATCTCTAATGCCAGGGGAAAAAATGTACTAGCATGAATGAGAGCAAGTAGGCAAAGAGAGCAAGCTTCTTCCTTCTATGTCCTTTATATAGGCTGCCAGCAGGTGTGGCCCAGATTAAAGGTGAATCTTCCTACCTCAAAAAATTTAAGAACAAAATTCTTCAGATGTACCCAGCTGCTTGTGTTTTAGTTAACTGTAGATGTAGTAACATTGACAACCAAGAACAGTCACTGCAGCAGGAAACACAAATTTCAAAACAATTATATTTATTTATATACATTCTTTTGGTTTTTGTCACTCACACTTTACCCTGTGCATAATTATCACTGCAGTTTTTGGTAACTGGCTTTTTAGATTTAGGAGCATTTTCAGATTTCATATTTTCTTTAATGGCTAAATGAAGCAATCAAGAACTCCCTGATAGTTTCAGGCACCCTCAGGCCTGCTGGGTGGTGTCCTGAGCTGTTCTTCAGGTGTGGGACTCTCCTTACTCAAAGTCTGCAGAGTGCATCTCAAGGCTGAAAAGGCAGTGGTTTGAAAGGCACTAGGACTGCAGTTTGGATTGCCTCTTCTTGAACTTAATCCCGTGTGTTTTCTGATGCCCAATAAGGTGTGAGCTCTGAGTGAAAGCCCTCCCACACTTGGTGCACACATATGGGCGCTCCCCAGTGTGAGTTCTCTGATGCCTGGTAAGGTGGGAACTCTGGCGGAAGGCTTTCCCACATTGTTGACAATGGTAGGGCTTAGCCCCAGTATGAGTTCTCAAGTGTTGAGAGATGGCTGAGCGGTCATTGAAGGTCCTCCCACACTCGGAACACTCAAATGGTCTCTCTCCACTATGAATTCTATAGTGCTGTGTGAGGGAGGAGCTCTGAACAAATGCTTTCCCACAGGCCATACACTTGTAAGGCCGTTCTCCTGTGTGGATCTTTTTATGGACAGAAAAATACCTAGCATTCTGAAATAGTTTGCCACATTCACTGCACCGGCAAACTTGGCTCCCCTTATGAATTTTTATAAAAAATATCTGCTGAGCATGATGGCTGATGGCTTTGTTACAATTGTTGGCTCTCCTAGTAGTCCCCTCTTCAGGACCCTTCTGGTACGTTCTCACATGGGGACCATATTTTATGGAAGTGCTAGTTTCCCTGCCTTGCCCTCTTTCAGAGGTCTTCAGGTGAATTTTTATATGGGGACTGTGTTTTATGGAAGTACTCATTTCCCCGACTCTTCCACCATTAGAATCCTTCTGGTTAATTCTTACATGTTTCAAGGAATTCCTGTTTCCTCGGACTTTACTCCTTTCACAGTCTTTCTGGAGAATTTTTACAGGGGAAGCACGTGCCAAGGAACTGTTCCTGTCCCTGGCTCTTCCTAACCCAGACACCATCTTGTGATTTTGTACAGATGAACCCTGTGTCATGGAATTGCTGCTTTTCCCAATTTTACCCCATTCAGCACGTTTCTGGTGAATTTTTATAGATGCATCAGGTTCCACGGCATTGCTACTGTCCCTGACTCTGCCCCCCGTTTCAGAGCCAGTGGCTTGCTGGTAAATTTTTGCAGGTGCTATAAGTATAATGGGATCTCTGCTGTCCCCAACTTTACCCTGCTCATAACTCTGCTGAGGGTTTTTTTCAGAAGGACTATGTGTCATGGAATTGCGGCCATCTCTGACTTGGCACACCACAGAGCCCTTTTGCTGATTTCTTATGGGTGAATCTCGTGTCATGGAAATGTGTTTTTTCTTGGCTTTCCTCTTTCCAAAGCCCTTCTGGTTACTTTTTACATGCAAGTGCTTTCTAGGAAGAACTTCATCGAGTGAGTCCTGGCTTGTGTGAAGCCTAATTTGCCCCTGAGACTGGGGGCTTTCAGAGATCTCCTCCTGAGGGAGGTCTTTTTCCTCTACAACCTCCACTTGATTTGATTCTATGGTATGGATTTCTTGCACCTCATTTTGTGAGATATTTTCAGTAACAGTGGACTGGGTACCATTACTTGAGAAATTTTTTGGTTTTGGGTCACGAATTGGTTCTACCACAGAACTGGGTGATTTTGGACTTAACTCTTTGTTTCCCAATGTAGGCTCCCACCCTGAAAGAAACCAAAAGATAAGCATACTGTAGTTAAAAATGACAGAATGACAGTAAAACAAACAGTATTTAAAAAATGAGATTACATCCTCTCCTCAAATAGTCATTCATTTTAGGGAATGGCTGACAAGCTCTTTAGCAGCAAAACCAGGCATAATCAATTTGGTGACCGATGGGTGAGGGGAAGGAGCTTCCTCTCATTCCCCCAGGCAAACCGAACCAGAGGCTGCCTCTGAGTACGTAAGTTTCCCTACCCATGTTGGGTCACAAGCCCAGATAAAGGTTCTGGACAGAATAAGAGAGACCCTTGAGAGCACAGCCAGTCCTGACAATGGGTAGAGAGAGAGTGCGAGTCCTGAGGGGACCCTGCGGCATTCTAAATGTAAGCATGGTCTTACCTACTGAGACCAAGTTGCCCAAGGTCTCCAGCATCACATCATGATACTCAGTCCTCTGCACTGGACCTAGTAGCTGCCATTCCTCCTGATTGAAGTCCACAGCCACATCCTGGAAGGTTACTGGCTCCTGTAATGTTATGAAAATTTGGTGTTTGTCAATGTGGGCAGAATAAAGGCCACTGGGACATTATACCAGATAGGGACTCTTCTGCTTTGGTGGTTTGGTCAGAGACAATGACTTCTCAAGCCCAAAAGAGACCCACAGGGTATTTCTCCTAAGTCTGGGTCCCAAGCTGGTAGACAGAACCCCTGATTGACAAAGAGCTACAAGTGTAATAAGGAAGCCATATCAATCACACCAGCATCTGTGTCAAGGATGCACTGTAAGGACAGCATCTCACCAGAGAACCTTCTCCCTCTAGAAACAGCCTTGAAGCTAGAAACACAATGAAGCCATAGTCCTTGCCTTTGTGGACAGGTCTGACCTATGTGGAACATTCACCTATGCTGTGTCAGTTTTTTATGAGCAGCTACAGATTCTGAAAGGAAGACTCTTCCACTTCACCAACTCGCCCAGATAGGGGAGGTCTTTTGCCCAGACGGAGAAGAGCCTACCTTGGGAGGAATAGAATTCAGGAATGGGATCAAGCAGTTTCTTCCCATTCACAGTAGCAGCCTTACTTGCAGCCTACTCTAGACTGCTCATTACCTGAGAGCCAACAATTTCAATCACATGCCTGAGCCAATATAAACCACTTCCAGGGCAAACAGCACTACTGCCATATACACGCCACATCCTATAGCTGACAAGGCCGACATCCTGCTGCAAGCACGTCACCTAGTTTGTTCTGAGACACACCTGAGCTGTGCTGTTCCATCCCTAATTCCCCACTTGAGTGTTTCTGAAGGACAAGGGCTCTCTGGTTCTAACCAGGGTACAATGTGGTTCTTACAGGCCACCAGTGGTTGCTCTGATTCTCATGTTCCTCAGCCTTGATCCACTTACTCTTGCTTTTTGCTTTCTCCGTGGCCAGGTCTCAATGTCAGGAGGCAGGGTTGCCCTTCACACTTGGGTTGCTTCAGAACTGCACTCAGTCCCAAGAACTCAGAAGGTCAGAACTGCCTATCTTGTGGGAAGCCTCAGCAAAGCTCAGTGTAGAAGGGGACATTTTAGGGGTGGGCCCCCCATAGAAAGCTGTGACCAAAGAACAAAAGGTCAGGTTCTTGCTTACCTCAGGTGGTATAGTAACTGGTAAGGTGGCCATGTCCTTCTTTTTCTCTTTCAGTCGATCAGTGGCCTCATTATGGCAGGCAAGCAGAGCTGGAGGAGACGCCACATGAAGGGATCAATGGGGTGGTAGCCTTCAGGCAGGCAGAACTGCCAGGCTCTGCAACCCTTGAGCTGTGCATATCCATGTCCCTTGATGGTCTATGTTGCCTTCTTCACTACAGATAACTAATTCCCATACCTGAAAGGGCCCAGATTGTCACCCTGCGTGGACCACTGTTTCCATCACTGACACCTTTTATTGCCTTTCCCCTCCAGCATCTGTTTCAGGCTCTAGCTTCTGAGGCAATGGCCTCACACCTCCTCCTTAGTGGTAAAGTCTGTTTCTAGTCTATAAGCCCTTATCATGCTTGTGTGGCTCCTCTTCCTTTGGTCACAGGGTATGTACTCATTTTGTGCTTCTGTCACCTTAAATATTCCTGGCCAGTACCTACAGCCCTCCCAAGGACTCCTTCAGATCTAGCCTTCCTCATGTGTCTTTTACAATGCTGATTCTACTCCAGCCAGCATGGGGACAATGTGACTCAGGTTGCTCTACCATGATATCACTCCACCACCGTAAATGGACTCTTGTAGACACGGGAGATCATAGACTTTCAGAGCAACTGAAGCTTTTGCTGGAACATTTCGGAAAGACAAATCCTGTGTTTGGAAGCCTTAATGGGAATGAAGCCAGCTGAAGGCAGCCAACTGAGGTATGGAAGAAAGGATAAGTTGAGGTGCTTATTGAAATTCCTAGGTATAGATGTTCCTAGAGTTAGAATTTGGAATTTTTCCAGTAAACTTTCCTTCTTCTTGGAGCTGCTTTTAAGGTTTTATGAGTGACACCAAAGAATCCCAACTAGTACAATGACCACAAATAGTTTTCTCAGGGTCCTCTGTGAATGGTCAGGGTCATTAGGCTGTGACATATTAAACATAGGGTAAACTCAATTTCATCTCATAAGCACTACTGCTTTTTTGGTGTCTATATTTGTGGTGTATGTACATTTGTGTGTATGTGTGTTTGGGTGCATGCAGAGGTCAGATCTCTGGTGTCCTGCTCCATCACTCTTTGCTGTATTCCATTGAGTCATGATTTCTCACGGAACTTGTAGCCAGGCTGGAGGCCAGCAAACCCTAGTCACCTTGCTGTCTCCACCTACTCTAATAGTGTGGTTATAGGTATTCATGACCATGACCAGATTTTTAAATGTAGTTTCTGGGGAGTTAAACTCCAGTTAACTGTCATTAACTGCACCCCACTCCCAAATTCTGAGGATTAAACCCAGAATGCTGTACAGTCTAGGTAAGTGTTCCACTACTGATGATAGTCCCAGCTGCTTTCTATTTTGAGGCAGAGTCATGATAAATTGCTCACACTGGCCTTGAACTGGTGACTTGACTTGGACTCCTTGAGTATCTTAGATTATAAGCCTATACAATTAGGTCTGGCAAAATATATTAGGGTTCCAGAGACCAGAGCTCTGGCATTAGCTTCACTGGCCTAAAATCAAGACATTAACAGGGTCGTGTTCTTTTGGATACAGGGAAGAACCCATTCTTTGCTTTTTCAACTTCTCCAGGCTACCCAGAATTCTTGGCTCATGGCCCACTAGCACATCTACCCTGCTCCCTTTCTTCACTGTTCTAGTCGTAGCAGATATCAGGGACAGAAACAGCCTCCATAAACTCCACCAGTATCCTGACCTTTCCACCATCTTATTACCATCACATGGGTATTCACTTTGTCATACCACATCTTTTCTGCAGGACCACAGGCTCAATAAACTCGAGTCCTGCCTTAGTTACAACTTCATTCACAGCCCCTACAAAGAACTGGAAGGCTGGCTATGTGTTAGGGATTCAGGGATCCCAAGAGGATTTAAAAAAAAAAAACTGCACTTGTGAGCTTCCATTGAGAGAACAGGGCTGGATACCAACCACTTCAGGTTTCCATTAACTCTGACCTGGTAACAAGCGGAAGACACAGATGTTTGTGGTCTGGAGTGGGAACAACCCATCCTTAAGTGGGAACAACCCTTCAGCACTCCTCATTCCTCCACAAAGCCTTAGATGTTTCTAACTTCACCATTCCATGACACTCACCATCTTCCTTAGACACCGAGGTCACGTTCTCCACCAGGGTCACTGCTGCTTGGCAATCCTTGGGGCTCTGTGATTCCACCCACACCCGCAACTTCTCAGGCAGTGCGTTGAGGAACTGCTCAAGCACCAGTAGCTCCAGGATATGTTTCTTTGAATGTGTACTGGGCTGCAGCCACTGGTGACACAGCTCACGAAGCTGAGACACAGCCTTCTGGGGATCATCTGACTCTTCATACTGGAAATGTCGGAACTTTTGGTGAGCGACTTCAGTGTCAGTCAAATGCTTGCTTGGTTGTTGAGATGCCTCAATGTTGCCCAGGCTCAGGTCTTCTCCACTTTCCAAATAGAGGGATTGAATCAGGGCGTTCCGGGGACCGGCCACATCCTTGTTCAGTGTAAGGACCTCAACAACGTTGATCTTCATCAAGGGATTCTCATCAGGAAAGGAATTTATTCCAGGGTCCAGAGAAGGCTTCATCAAGGGACTCTCATCAGGAAAGGAATTTATTCCAGGGTCCAAAGAAGGCCCAGAAGATTCTATAAGTCAAAACCAGAGCGAAAGCTAGGCTGGGCGGCGCACTCCCATAATTGTTTTATACCTGGGAGCTAGGGGCAAGAGGGGATCCCTGCATGTAAGAGTCTAGCCAAGTCTATATATTCAGTTCTAGGCCAACTAGAGTCACAAAGACAGATTCATCTAAAAAACAAAAACAAAAACAAGGCTGGGTATGTAGCTCAGTTGGCAGATAATTACCTAGCATTCAGGAAGCCCTGAGTTCAATCCCTAGCAATGCATTCAAACCAGGCAATGCAATGCACACCCGTACTCCCAGCACATAGGAGATAGAGGCAGGAGGATCAGGTCAAGGTCAAGCTTGGCTACATAGCAAAGTCAGGCTAGCCTGGGATACTTGAGACTCAGTTTCGTATACCTGTTTTATAGAACACAAATATTGTTTTATTCAGTACATAAGGAGCTGGCTCATTCTTATATACAAAGTACTATTATTAAGTTACATGCATTGCAGAGGACCTGTATAGATTTCCCCCATCTCCTGTATAGTTTTTTAACTTGTGTTTTATTTTGTATGTCAGTTGTTGGTATTTTGTCTAAAAAGAAGCAAAGTTCATGCACTTGCTTTTCCTTTCTGATTTTTCTTGGCCTAGGACCTAGCCCACACTAAATGAGTGCTCAACCACTGAGCTACATCAACAGGGAATCACACTCATTTTTGAGACAGGGCAGATAACCCAGGCTGGCCTCGAACTCTATGTAGTAGAGAAGGACATTAAAATTCTGATGTTCTACTTAGCTCCTGAGGTCAGACATTACAGGAATCTACCACAATACCTGGTTTATGTGGTGCTGGGGATTCAACCCAAGGCCTTCTGCATGTTGGGTAAACACTTTGTGAACTGAGCTATATCACCAGCCCCTCTTTATACTTTTTATTTGAGGACAGGTGCTCACTAAATTGCCCAGACTGGCTTGAACCTGTGCCTCAGCTTCCCAAGGAGCTGCGATTATAGACCTATAATACCAGGCCTAGCTATGTTTCTTGCTTTAAAAAAATCATTTTTTTTCTTTTTTACTTTTTCAGAGGTATGTCTCCTCCTCATCACCCCTAGAAAATGTTTGCTCCAATGCTTTGTTCTTTGGTTTTAGAAATGTATTCCAGGCGGGTGGTGGTGCTGTGGATATCGCTATATGGAAATAAACTCTGATTGGCCAATAGCTAGACAGGAAGTATAGGCGGAACTAACAGAGAGGAGACTTGAGAAAGGAGGAAGGAAGGGAGACTGGCTGGAGCCGCCGCCAGGACAAGGAAGATGTAAAGTACCGGTAAGCCACGAGCCACGTGGCAAAGTAAAGATTAATAGAAATGGGCTAAATATAAGAGTAAGAGCTAGACAATGACAGGCCTGAGCTAATGGCCAAGCAGTTTAAATAATGTAAGAGTCTGTGTGTTTATTTTATAAGTGGGCTCTGGGACTGGCGGGACTTGGTGGCGGGAGCTGGAGAGAAATTCTCCAGCTACACGGTGGTGGCGCACGCCTTTAATCCCAGCACTCGGGAGGCGAGCCAGGCGGATCTCTGTGAGTTTGAGGCCAGTCTGGTCTCCAAAGCGAGTTCCAGGAAAGGCGCAAAGCTACACAGAAAAACCCTGTCTCGAAAAACCAAAAAAAAAAAAAAAAAAAAAAGAAAAAAAAGAAATGTATTCCAGACTTTTCACTTACCCTAGATTCTAAGTGTGGATGTTAGAGAATGGTATCAACTTAAAAGAATCATGATATACATATTTGAGACAGACAGATGGATGGTGTAGTGGGTAGCCATTCCAACCTTGATCTGGAAGTTCCAACCCCCACTGAGGCTTTAGTAACTGTCACGCCTACAAGGCGGGGCCAAGAGAGGACCCCGAAGACCCGAGATCCGGATGCATGGGCTCTCTTGGTGCCTGGACCCTGGACGCTGGAGGTAGACCGAGCAGAATTCTCCAGAGAACACCGCCGGACTCCGACACACCTTTCCCAGACCCTGCAACCCAACTATCCCCTCACTTGTAAGTTACACCACTAAATAAACCTCCCTTTTAACTACGTGGAGTGGCCTTAATAATTTCACCAATAGGATGGTATACAGAGAGAACAAATACATTAAAGATGAGAGAAAATGTGTTCTTGAACAAAAATCAACAAACCATGCAAACATACTACTGTGTGTGGCTCTGGCCAAATACATGGCCACACCTGATTCTGGATTCTTGAACAAATCAGTAAGACTCTGAGCCCTCAGAGGTCTTTGTAACACTTGCAGCCTCAAATTTCCCTTTCCTCTCTCAAAGCTTGTACTCATAACTGAAATTATCTTTGAAGATATACCAATGTTTCTTGTGATTTCTTCAGATATTTATTCACTCCAAGCAATTCAGTCATATCACTAACACATTGGAATGGATAGAATTATAGTAGTGGTGATTGCTCTCATTCATATCATTTAATATTGAGGTCAGATAACAGAATAAGAGATGTTAGAAATTGCTTTACTACAGCTATAAATTTGTTATTCAAATTTTATGCAGGGTTTGCTTTTTTATGACCTCTGACATTTCCTTTTTCTTATTCACTGTAATCCTTCCTATTGAGTATTTTTTTTTTTACTCTCAGATAATGCAGTGGTTAAAGCTGATGACTTCCCCACAGAATACATCCAAATGGTCTTTGCCCATATGAGTCCTCTGATACAGACCACAATGAGGACTCCTACTGAAGTTTCCCACATTGTCATGCTTACAGCAATTCCCATCAGTAAATTCTTTAACGCTCAGTGGCTTCCTAATAGTGACTGGGTTCTTAAGACTAACCCTGGCACAACTGCGATGACAAATAGGAGAGCCACACACGGAACTGTTCTACATCATGCACATTCTCATGGTTTCAGAGTTCTCAGATGCCGTTATTTGGTAGAAGAAAATTTCCAAACACAAAATTGTTATTTTTTTTTTTCTGGGGAGGGGGGGGTCTATAGGTGTGAGTTTTCTCAAGGCAAGACTAACTTAGGTCAGAAGCCGTTCTTGCTCCAATCATATTTTTGAGATTTCTTCTCTTAGAATGAGTTCTCAGAGATTGAAAATTTCACAAAATGACTGTCGTCCACGTCTTACAGACTGATATCTGGTTTTAGCCTTATAATAGTTAAGGAGGTTCAAGATGAGCTGAAATTAGGCTTTCTCACACTAAACCCATTTACAGCACACTTTTTTTAATCTCTCTCTCTCTCTCTCTCTCTCTCTCTCTCTCTCTCTCTCTCTCTCACACACACACACACACACACACACACACACACTATACAAAGATCCCAGAGAACAAATACATGAAGATGAGAGAAAATATGTTTTTGAACAAAAATCAACCAACCATACAAACACACTACTGTACTAGGCTCTAGTCAAAATGTATGCTAGTTTTAAATTCTAGACTCTCAAACAAATCTATAAGGTTCTGAGTCCTCAGAGTTCTCTATATGTGAAATTCCATCATTTTTCATATATTTATTCTAAAATTTCATATAATTCTTTCATTTTCCACATGTTTGTTCTAGCATGTGGACATTCTCTTAGGCTATACAAAAAAATTAAATCCAGCAGTATCTGCCTCTTTCTCAAAGAAAACACCTTTTTCCTGTAATGTAAATTCAAATATAATTTATAAACCTGTTTACTGTTTGAAAGTGTTGTCACAATATATTTATCAGGTTCACTTCCTGCTTCATTTTTTTTTCCTTTTTGCTTTTTTGAGACAGGGTTTTTCTACGTGTACCCCTGGTTGTCCTGGAACTCACGCTGTAGAAGTGGCTGGTCTTGAACTCACAGAGATCCACCTGCCTCTGCCTCCTGAGTGTGCACCACCACCACACCCAGCAAGCACAACCTAATTTAGTTTCCCATGCCTATACAGGATCTTATTCAATTCAAAGCTTTCTTGAGGATGAATGACATTTGTCTTAGTATTTATCCATTTTCTCATATTTCTTCAACAACCACATTCCATGATGTCATTCTAGCAATGGTGGGAAAATGGAGAGGCACGCAAGCTGAATTGTGAAAAAGAATCCCAGCTTTTGATTTAATCTCAGTTCTGTGCATCAATAAGATGCACAGCATACCACTGTTGGGAGACTAGTGGAGATGCAGTATCTCATTTAATAGCAATATATGATATTCTAAAATCTCTTATTTTTTATGTGCTACCTGAACCTCTTGAAGTTCAAACAAGTTTATTTGATTAGATTAGCAAAACTCCTTGGATGTGTCTAAGGTTCCTTTTCTTTTTCTTGGAGATGAGGACCGAACCCAGGGCCTTGTGCTTGCTAGGCAAGCGCTCTACCACTGAGCTAAATCCCCAACCCTGGTTCCTTTTCATTTGTAAGTTATTGACAGAACAAGTAGAGACATGGCACAGTTAAAAAAAGAACTTTCAAGGTGAATGCCATTAGGTAATTCTTTACATGATTAGTCTAAAGTTTTACTCAACATTATGTCATCATGGAGAGAAAAGGGTTCTACTTCTTAAAATGATCTGTTTGTGGGGCCCCTAGTAGTGGGACCAGGACCTATCCCCAGTGCATGAGCTGGCCCTTTTGGAACCTATTCCCTATGCTGGGACGCCTCGCTCAGCCTTGATCCAGGGGGGAGGAGCTTGGTCCTGCCTCAACTTGATGTGCCATGCTTTGTTGACTCCCATGGGAGGCCTTACTCTTTCTGAATGGAGAAGGAGGAGGAGTGGATGGGGGTGGCTAGAAGGGAAGTAGGGGGAGGGAATGGGAGGAGAGGAGGGAGGGGAAACTGTGGTTGGTATGTAAAACAAATAACAAAATAGTTTACATCTTTAAAATAAGTTAATTTAAAAAATTCAGGCAAAGTTTTCCTTGCATGGCAAGGCTGGGGATGTAGCCCAGTGGCAAAGTACTTGTTTAGCATATGCAAGGCCCCTGGCATCAGTCTCCAGGACCACAAAAAGAATGTTAGCAATAAACATACAGACTATGAACAAACAGCCACAGGAAATCCCTTCCAGGCTTCCTTCACCCATAAGAATTCTCAGCAGCTTTTTTTTGGGTCTAGTTTAGCTAATCAGATACCTATATCCACTGATTCTACCTTTGAGTCAAACACACATTTCTCCCTAAACCTGCTACTACTCTCCCAAGGCAGTCATTATTGTCTCACCCCTAGATGCTAGCTACTAAAGCCTTCTTTCACCACAGCTCTTTTGTCACAAACCAACCAGAGTGAGCTGTGGAAAGCCATGTCACACCATGTATCCCTCAACAATAAAAGTCACTCCTCTCACAGCTAATGTGGCCAGGTGTCTCCTGCCAACTTAATCTGTATGTTTTTGTATTTTGGTTTTCTACTCCTAGCCCCAAATTTGGGTCCAGAGAAGGGGGTGTGCTAAGTCAGTAATTCCAGTCCCTTTGTGTTGTGGCTAATGGTTATCACCAAAGACGGCACCAGAGAGAGATCTGATAGGTGAACAGTGCCAGAAGCAGTGGCTCTGATGCTACTTCCAGCAGAGCATATAAAAACGGGAAGCATCCAGTAGCACACAGTGTGCGTTACACCCAACACATATACAGAAAAGTTGAAGACAGCAAAACCAGTGAATACTATCCAGTCGTTTATGAAGATCATCACAAAAACATAACCTTACAGCAAGGCATTTCTTAAATCTACTATGTTACCACTCTGACCACCTTGGAAGATTCTGTAATGGAAATAGGAAAATATTACTGATTTTCATTCGTTTTAGCACTAGAATATTTATTCATTCAGATGAATGTTGATGTGAAATAAAGCAAAATCTAACATCATGCGCATCAAAACCCAGAAATTTTCCTATTAAGTTAGGCCAGATACCTACTCTTTACTTTCAGAATCATGATGTTTTATATGTGATGATGCAACTATGTAATTATCCAAAGCAAAGAAAAGAATTAACATAGGACTGCAGAGATGCCTCAGTGGTTGTGGTGATTTGAAGGAGACTGATGCCCTTGGGCTCATATGTTTGAATACTTGGCCCCCAGTTGGTGGAACTGTTTGGGAAAGATTAGAAGTTGTGGCTGTGTCAGAGGAGGTGTGTCACTGGGAGTGTTTCAGAAGCTCATGCCAGTCCCAGTTAGCTGTCCCTCTGCCTCCGGTTGTGGATCAGATGTCAGCTCTCAGCTATAGCTCATGCATCATGCCTGCCTGCCTGTTGCCATGTTCCCCCGTGATGGTCACGTGCTAACCCTCTGAGACTGTTAGCAAGCCCCAAATGACATGGAGTTTACAGGGTTTTGGAGTTGTCTTGTTTGGTTTTGATCTTGCTTTGGTCCAATATTTCCTCACTTTCCCCCCTTTGGAATGGTAAAATACACTCTGTGACATTTGTGTGTTGGAAGTATGTAACTAGCCTTTTGTATTTAAAGGGGGTTACAGTTAAGAGACTGCCTTGAGCTTCAGAAGAGACTTTGAACTTTTTTGTTTTTATTTCAATTTTTGTTCATTATTAAGTACTAATTAGATTTTAGAGATCTGAGTTAGCCCCCCTTTTCCCTTCTTAAATGGCGAAAGGCATGTTGCTGGCATACATAAAAATGTCTCCCTAGAAATCCCATCTGTACCTCCTGCCTAGCTGTTGGCTATTCAGCTCCTCAGAGGACAGAAGAGGGTGTCAGATCCCCTGGGACTGGAGTTACAGATGGTTGTGAGTCCCTGTGTGGGACTGAACTTGGGTTTTCTACAAGAGAACCAGTATTCTAACCACTGGGCCATCTCTCTAGCTCTCAAGACTCTGACCTTTCAAAGTGTTGAGACTGTGAAAGACTATGGGGAGTTTTGGAGTTGGACTGAATGCATTTTGTATCATAATACTGCCATGGACTTATGGGGGTCAGGAAGTAGATTGGGGTGATTTGAATGAGAATGGCTCCTACAGGCTAATATATCTGAATGTTTGGTTCCCAGTTGGTGAAGCTGTTTGGAAAGGTTTGGTTGTGGTCTTGATAGAGGTGTGCCACTAGGGGTGGGTTTTTGAGGTTTCAAAAGCCCATGCCATTCCCAGATATCATGAGCTCTATCTTGCTTCCTGCCTGTGGATTAGGATGTATGCTCTCAGGTACTGCTCCAGCGCCATGCCTGCCTACCTGATTCCATGCTCCCCACCATGACAGTCAGGGACTCAACCTCTGAAACTGTAAGCAAGCCCTCAATTAAATTTTTTCTCTTATAAGTGGTCTTGGTCATGGCCACTTATATCTTCACAGCAACAGAAAAGTAATTAAAACACTAATGTTAAGAGAATTTATCAAGATGACAGATTCATCTGAATAACTGTGCAAGAAAGGATTAAACAAAACAGGTAACAGTAACAATATAAGTCTAATCAAATTTAATGTACATTCTCACAGGATATTCTCAACTAACCCAGGCAAGCTGGTGTTTATTTAGAGGATTAGATGTCCAAAGACATCCAAAGTTTTATTTATTTTTTTTAAATTACAAGGGGAATGAAAATTTATTGAAGTTCACTAATATACAATAAAATGTATATAGCATTATGGTATGCACCCAGAGCGGAAAAGCACAAAAGATCAGAGCATAAGAGCACAGAAGAGGCTTCTGTACTATGACAATAGTAATTTAGTCTATGGAAAGGTGGTGTTTCCAACAAGTACAAAAATGAATCAGACTATGAGGCTGAAAGAACTTATGTCCACCATATACAAAGTGTAACTGGATAAACAGAATAACAACAAAAAGCAAAGTTAAAAATGCTTGAATTCACAAAAGTATTCAGACAATATGCCTATGTGGTTAACAACACCACCAACAAGAAAACTTAGAAGAGAAATAAAAATAGGAGCCAGCATAGTAGCACATATTTGTGACCCCAGAACTTCTAAGGTAGAAGGATGATCAAGAATTCAGTTATGTAGTAGGTTGGAGGCCAGCCATATCTCAAAACAAAACAGAAAACCAAAACAACAACAAACCCCCAACACAAACATCACTACCACTGCACACAAATCCCAAATACCATAACCATTGCCCCATATAAAGACTGAGGCTGAGGATGTTAGTTCAGTGATAGCATGTCTGCTCTGCTTATCATGTGAAAGGCCCTGGGCTTAATCACCAGCACCATGAAGAAATGACTGCAGATTGGAAAATAACATACTAATTACAGCACACTACTTGAGTTCTCCATAGCTTAGAAGACATTAGTCTCAGAATAATTAGTAGGCCCATCCCTTTTGGGAACTCCCTCATGCCTGGCTCTCACCTGGAAAGATATCTTGAGGAATTTCTCTCTCCACTGGCCAGAAGTCTTCTACTTCTTCTAACTGAGATATCACATTTGGCTTGGAAAAGTGATGTTCTGCTCAATGGAAAAGAGACAGGGCTTGGGGAGTCTGCTTAGAAAAAATGCTGTCCTGTTGTAACACTCTATGCCTTCCTTCCCCCATGCTGTCACATGATAACTTTAGGCCTTGGGCAGTGATAACTACACATCTATTCCTTTTATTGGATTTCTTGGGTTTCCTCGACAGTAGAGGAATCATAAAGTAAAAAAGGGAGATTGTTCAATTGGGGGACATTCTGCAGAAGTTTTTGCTTCTTGGTTAAATGTGACAGCAGAGAAAGAACTGGTCAGGACTATCTGCATTTCTTGCTTCTGCCTAAACATAGACGTGAAGCTTGGAGCCACAGCTATACAATAACTATAGAGGACAGAAAACTTCCTAAGAACCACAAAGAAATCACAATCTTTGATGATATCTCTGAGCTGCTGGATACTGACATCTCATATGCTGGAAGTGCCATAAATTTATACCTGTCACTGCAGCTATAAATATCCCTTATAGGCTCCACCCAGTATTCAGGGGCTCTGATGTACTGACTGGATGAAACTTCTAAAGTTATACTGAAAAGCTGCCTTTTTCTTTTCACTACCAAGCTCTCCACTGCCATAACACTTCCACTCTGGTCTTTCCAGCCTAAGTTCAAGCGCAAACAGTTCAGAGGTACCACACTTTGGGAGTTAAAAAAAAAAAAATTGGGGGAGGAGGAAGAAAGAGGTAGAGTCAAGAATAAATAACCCTCAACTTCCAATCTTCTTCCTCCTCCACCTCTGGAGTGATGGAATGACATGTGTGTACTACCCTCCCAAGGACCAAACACATCTTTATAGTGGAGGTTGCCTTACCCACTGAAACCATGTTATTGTAGTTCTCCAGCATGATTTCCTTGTATAGGCACTTCTGTTGGAATTCCAGCTGTGCCCACTCTTCTTTGGTAAATGTCAGTGATACATCTTCAAACTTCACAGGTTCCTAAAACCCACAGGATGTTGTTCAGCCAGGGGGCTTCCTCTTCCCCAGAGACAGAAAAATGGGAAGGCTGACCAAGAAGACCCAGCAACATTCTACTTGTCTCATCTCAGGTTCCTTTGTGTGAGTCCGTGAGCAAACCGCTCTGACACTACTCAGGAGGACTTACGAGACCTCTGGTCTATGAAAACCTGTTCATTTCTCATGAACCAGGGCATAGGACTGTTAGTTCCCATCTACACTGCTTTTCTTGTAGTTGCAGAAAGCCAACCACGAGCCTCCTATATTCTTACACTTGTCAGTTTCTCCCCCGCATGCCCAGCTTTAAAAAAAAAAAAATAGTAGCAAATAGTTGAAAAGGGCTGGCGAGGTGGTTCAGTGGATAACGGTGCTTCCTACCAGGCCTGAGTTCGAGCTTCAGGACCCACACTTTGGAAGGAGAGAAGCGATTCGGAAAGTTGTCCTCTGTCCTCTACACGCAGACAGTGGAACACACGTGCATATCCACACACAAAACAGATGTAATAAAAAACCATTTTTAATTGAAAAGCCTCAGTCTGGCCTGTAGAATCCCAGTTCAGAAATTGGTTTTGGTTTTTGTTTTGTTTTTTTCCTTATTCTAACCACCCTCCTCCCGGAACTCTACGGTATTAGAGAACAAATGTCTCACCACCAGCCGCCTCCCTCAGGGGCAGACGCAGAAGCTGAAAGAAACCTCTACTCACATGAGGCCACACTGTGGGAAGCGTGGAGGCCATACTGTCCTCAAAGTTCTCTCGCTGGAGTAGGCAGCGTGCTGAAGAAACTAAAGGTGGAAGGAGAGTTGGGGGAGGCTAAGGAATGTGTTCTTTCCACCTCTGCCCTTAACCGGTCTCTCGGCGGGACATGACCAGTCCACCCCCACACTTGAAAGTGCCCAGCGAGTCCTCTCCCCGACTCCCACGCGCCTACAAGACAGGTTCCCCTCTAACCGCGCGGGGACAGATCGTCTGATGTCCTCCAATCCAGAACGCGTTTGGTGTTCTTAACCGTGTCCTACATCCAGAGCGCGATGTCTCTCTCTCAGGATCCGGACCCACGGCTACACAGCTCCTTCCGGGTCCGTAGAAGTGGAACCGCAAGCAAAGCCAGCTCTGGGCTCCAGAGGGTGTAAAGTAATAAAACAGAAGATGGGCGCTGTCCCCGACGGGCTTTCACGCAGCACTACGCGTGCCCGAGAAGACACAATGGCGCTAGCTAGCCCGTCGGTCTGCCCCGAACTGCGTCAGCTCACAGGTCCGGACTACAACTCCCAGACGACCCCGCGGGCGTCGAGGCGCTGCAGTGGGCGGTGTCCGTCCGGTTGGCGGCGTCCGTCGCGTTGGCCGCGAAGCTGATGTCCGTAGACGTGTGTTGTTGGCGGCCAGAGAACCAGGAGGAAGCCTCTGAAGGAGGATACAAAGCCGCTGAGCCCCAGTACCTCTGTGGACGGAACCCGAGCCTAGGAGAGAGTCGAACTAACTAACGGGAGTGAACGCGCGTGGACTAACGGGAAGTTGGGGACTGGCAAGGACGGGCAAAGGGTGGGCAGGAAGTGCTGGTGTTAGGGCGGCTGAGGGACGCTTGACGTGTGGCAGAGTAGGAAGCGCCGGAAGTAGTGGACGGACCGAACGTGCTGTATACACTGTGTGTGTGGTGTGGTGTGTGTGTAGTTGTAGGCGGGAGGTAGGAGAAGACAAGCTCTGCAGAGTTTCGTGAGGGGGAGGAGAAAAGGATGCAATCTTGCTGAAGGTTCACTCCCTTAAACAGAGAGGAAGAAGGGATTAAACTCTAGAAACAGAAAGTCAGCAGGCTCTGGAATTAAAAATCTACCGAAATTTCTATGACAAGACAAGCATTTGCGCCCAGATTTGTAGACTGGGCAGGGCTGTATGGTTTCGCAACTTTAAGGTTCCCGGGATGTGTGGAGACTTGATGGACTTGAAATATATGGTGGGCTACACTAAATGTCCACTCCAATTTTCCCCAGCAGAGGACGGGACATATAGGATCATAGGAGTATGAGGAGGAGAACAAAAATTTCCCCCAATCCCAGGGAGACTAAATGTAAATGTCCACACAGGGTCTGAAGAGATGCACTGTTAATTGTACCCTACACATAGGGAGGATGTGGGTCCTGGTAATGTCAGTGACCTGTGATTAGGTTTGCTCCTTGTGGCAGACTGGATCATATCCAGGAGAGGAGAACCTGAAGTCCGCCCTGACCGTAATCTGGTATGTTTTTAGCTTCCTTGACAGTCCAGAACGACACAGAACTCTATTGTATTCCTTATGCTAGCTAGTATTCTATCCCTAGGGTCTCTTTGTATTCTGTTCTGACTGATGTAGTCTTGGCTTGCTTGGGGTCCAGACACTGTGATGTTCTCTTCATGCCTAGAGCCTGCCGACTTACCTATCCTTTTCCACCCAGGGTTTGTGCACTCCTTTGAGGTTTCTAAATAGGGTCTCAACAACACTGAGTGTATCTGTGGTTATGTTGCTTATTCTTATGGTCAAAGTAGACTACATATTGTTCTTAATTTTTACTGCGATTAATTTTTATTTATTAGTATTGACTCAGAGATCATGCTACTTTTATTCTGATGGTATTTCCTTGGATTTTCTTTCCTTCTTTCCTCCCTTCTTCCCTCCCTTTCATTCTGGGTCTCATGTATCCCAGACTGTCCTTGAACTTTGTAGTTCCAATTTAATTCCTCTGCTGGAGTTAAAGTTGTGCACCACCGTGCCCAGCCCAGTGGAAAATTTTCAAAATTAGTGACAGTAAACTAGGTATAGGAAGAACCAAAGATTCATAAATTAACATTCACATATGTATGCACAAAAACTGCAATAACTTAAATAATATTGGAGTAAAAGATTCTTTAACAGTAGAATCGGAAAAATTAAATGTGAGGTTAATTTGTTGGGACATGCACAGGACCTCTTGACCTATTTGAGGATAACTTTTGAGATGCCTGACTAAACTTAAATAGGTGAAAATGCTTGTATTCTAGAATTAGAAGTCAGTGTGTAAGTATTACTTCTTCCCTTCATCACTAGATTCAGTAATAGTTCAAATAGTAATACAATGGGGCTTTGGAGAGGCTTGGCATCTTGGGCTTTGTTTTGTCCTTTCCCCAAAAAATGTAAGGGGAGGAGGGAAGGAATCTTCTCCCCTACACAGGAATGATTTGGATTGGATTCAAACTCAAGGAGAAAAGTCCACAGAAATTACTTGATCAGAAATTTTTTTTGTGTGTGAGTTGAGCCGTCTTGGCAGCTCCAACTAGGACTTTTGATGACTGAATTAGTCAGAGTTCTCTAGAGGAACAGAACTGATTGATTGAATGAATGAATGTACGTGTCTATCATCTATCTATCATCTACCATCTATCTATCTATCTATCTATCTATCTATCTATCTATCTATCTATCATCTATATATCAGCTATCCATCCATCCATCTAAGGAGGATTTATTAGAATGACTTACAGGCTGTGGACCAGTTAGTCCAACAATGGCTGTCTACCAATGGAAGGTCCAAGAATCTGTCTACCAATGGAAGGTTCAATCCACAAGGCTGGATGTCTCAGCTGGTCTTCAGTATACATCAGAATTCCAAAGAAGTAGGCTCTAATGTCAGTGAAGCAATGGACGAGAGAGAGAGAGAGACAGAGACAGAGACAGAGACAGAGACAGAGAGACAGAGAAAGAGAGACAGGGAGAGACAGAGAGAAGAGAGACAGAGAGAGAGAGAGAGAAAGCAAAGAGCGAGAGCTTCCTTCTTCTATGTCCTTTATATAGGCTGCCAGCAGAAGGTTTGGCCCAGATTAAAGGTAGATCGTCTGACTTCAAAAGATCCCAATTAAAAGTGGGTCTTTTCACTTCAAATGATTTAATTAAGAAAAAAAACCCTCACAGGTGCATCCAACCACTTGGGTTTTAGTAATTCAAGATGTAATCAAGTTGACAATAAAGAATAGTCATTTTAATGACATTAGACTCCCACAAATAATTCAGGATATTCTCTCTGTCTCAAGATACTTAACACAGTTCCATTTGTAAATTTCTGTTTGCCATGTGAGATAATGTTCATAATGCTTATCTGTGGGTTAAGATAGTCTTCAGAAGAAAAAAGGGCATCATTATGCCTATCATAGGAAAGGTGCCCTGTATACACATGTTTAGATCGCACTGACAGGTCAGCTTGAGTGAAACTCGTCTTTTCCAGGGGCATCCTCTCAAGTTGAGTTTTCAAATTAGAGGCCCGATCTGAGGGTGCTTTATAGTGTGTAAGTTTCTGGACTTACTGATAGCAAAGATCTGGAATTGAGTGAAATCTCAATGTCTAGGGAGCAGTCAGGCAATGGGAACCTTGGCAGAAAGCTTATCGGGAGTGCTTGAAAGGAAAGATGGATTTCCGTGGTAGGTAAGGAGAAAGAAAGGCTGAGTATTTCTTTCTTTTCTTTTTTTTTTTTATTATTTTTATTTTATTTGCATTGGTGTTTTGCTGCATGTACACAGACTGTGTGAGGGTGTCAGATCTTGAAGTTACAGACAGTTGTGAACTGCCATGTGGGTGCTGGGACTTGAACCCAGGTCCTCTGGGAGAGCAGTCAGTGCCCTTAACCACTGAGCCATCTCTCCAGCACCCGAGTATTTCTTTCAATTAGGAAGGAAGCCAGCATTTCAAAGCATTCTTAGTGAGTGAGAGGAACTTAATAATCTTCTTCCCAGTGCCCAGAAGAGAAGCTACGAATGGTGTGAGTTATTTTCAGGAAAAGAATCTAAGTATCTAAGAATCTAAGAGCTCTAAGTCTGTATACTTTATTCCTCTGGAATAAAATCCTATCTACAGAGCTTCAGTTCTGTTCTCATGCCTACCTCCTTTCTTGTCTGATTTCTCTCTGTAATTATCTGCTGTCTCCTCTAAGTTCTATCTTAATTCTGCCCCATCTTGGTCTTTCTCATCACATTCTTCCCCATCTGGCTCTTCTCATCTTCTATCTCATTCTTCCAGCTCTCCAGTCAAAATCCTGTCTTAAGTTTCTGAAGTTTACAGTTATATACCCATGCAGTAGCAGTGCTCTAGCTAAGGTCACCAGGCTTGAATTCTTACAGGGTCATAAAGGCAGTCAAGAGTTTTCCTTAGGCAGTGACCATCAGGCTTTCCTTTACAACCCAAAAGGGGAGTGGTAAAGGAGGAGGTCAATTAAGAGTTAAAATTGGTTAATATATCAGAAAAAGGGAATTTATGTGCTCAAACTACATTCCTAGAGGTGGTTAGGTAAATGTTAGGAGTCTATAATGTTAGTATAAATCCCACTAAGGTTGTATAAGAAAGGAGGGTCTGAGCTTAATTTATCTTAATCAGGAGATCGTTTGGCCTTGGATGCTTGATAGGTATTTCAGATAAAATATACTGTTATGAGTTCTTGGAAGCATACATAGCATGCAGGAATCGGCTAATATATATACAAAAGCTAAAATATCACCAAGACTTCTTTTTTTTTTTTAATTTGGTTTTTTTGAGACAGGGTTTCACTGTGTAGCTTTGGTGCCTTTCCTGGAACTCACTCTGTAGCCCAGGCTGGCCTTGAACTTACAGAGATCTGCCTGCCTGTGCCTCCCAAGTGCTGGGATTAAAGGTGTGCACCACCACCACCACCACCACCACCACCACCACCACCACCACCACCACCACCGCCCATAACCAAGACCTCTTAAGCCATGGTTTGACCTTCAGAAAAGTACTTGACCTTTCCAAGTAGTAGCTTTTGTGATAGCTGAATTCCATTACATTTTCCTGTAGCTTGCAGCAGAGGAGTATCTTTAGGGTTCATATGTGAGACCACTTTACTCATCCCTTCTCCAGGAATCTATGGATGAGGATGCCCGGCAGTCTAGTGGCAGGGGTGAGTCCTCAGTGTAGCCATATGAGTTCATTATGTTTCCATTGTCACTGTGATTAACCTACAGATCTATTAGTTACTCTGATCTGAGCCATTCACTGAAAGGTATCTTGATGGCAATTGGGTTAAATGAGTGAGCACCAACTGGGAAGCCCATAGTTTTGATTAAAGATTTGGAAAATATTTTAGGTTGGAAAATGGCCTAAAGATGTCAGGCCCTGATCCCGGTAACCTGTGACTGTTATCCTCAAGAAGGACCAGAGACTTTGCATATGTATTAAATGTATTGTGATGGGAAGATTATCCTGGATTACCCTTGCAGCCATGTGCCTTTTTAAGAGGCAAGCAGAGAGATTTGAATACACACATACACAAAGGAAGTGTTGTTACCACAGAGGTAAAAGTTGGAGTTATGTACCCATAAACCAAGAATTAGAGCAACCATCAGAAGCTAGTAGAGGCATAGAATTTATTCTCTAAGCGTCATTGTGGTACAGAGCTCTGCCAACTCCTTCATTTCAATCAGTAATACTGATTTTATACTTATGGCTTCCAAATACAAGAGTAAATTTTTATTAAGATTCATCTCTTATTTTAAGATACCAGGTTTGTAGTAGTGGAGTTAAAGCGGCCATAGGAATGCAAAAGAAATACATTCTGTCTTTTCTGGCCGCTATGATGTAATTGGGAGCTAATTTAAGAACAATCAATATATGAGGCTAGAGAGATATATCAGTGGTTAAGAGTACTTGCTGCTCTTTGGTGGAACCAGGTTTAGTTCCCAGCACCCACACTGTGGCTCACACTTATTTGTAACTCCAGTGCCAGGGGATCAGACAATGTCTTTTGGTCTTTGTGGGGAGCCAGGCATGCAAGTGGGTAAAATACCCATATACATTAACAAAAAAGAATAACCAATATGAGGACAGCCTAAGGGAAAGATGGAAATTGAGTGTTTGGAGTGATTGCTGAACTGCTAGATCATACTGAAGTTATAACTGTATTGGTGACTAACTCTCCAAGCATATAAATGAAAAATTTCCTAATGGTGTTAGTCTGAGGTGGACTAGCTATTAGTAGTTACAGAATCTTACTCATATAACAATAGTGGCAGATCCATTTTTGTGTTTGATTTTGGCTCAGGGTTGTTTTAAATTGAAGCACAAATCTCTGTGTTTCATTAATTGGCATTTAGTTTGAAATATTTTGTTATTTTAAAATTGTGTGTGTGTGTGTGTGTGTGTGTGTGTGTGTGTGTGTGTGTATGTGTGAATGTGCACAGGAGTACAGGTGCCTGCAGAGTCCAGAGATGTCATATTCCCTGGAACTGGAGGTACATGTAGTTGTAAAGCTTCCTTGGGTGCTGGGAAGTGAACTCGGGTCCTTTGCAAGAACAGTATGCACTGGTAAACACCAAGCAATCTCTCCAGCCCCTAAAGATTTATTTTATGTGTATGTGTTTTTGTGTATATGTGGAAATGTGTGTGCAGGTGCCCTTGGAGGCCAGAAGCAGATGTTAGATTCCATGGAGCAGGACTTTGTGAACAGCCCAATGTGGATGGTGGGATCTGCACTTCAGCTCTCTGATAGAATAGTAAATGCTTTTAATTGTTCAGCCATCTATGGTGATATATTGTATTTTTAAGATTCATGTTACAGCCATCTCTTCAGCCCTGGTATCTGGTTTTAAAATGACTTGGCATGTCAGTGCACTCTTGTAATACTAACACTGGGATCCTGAGGTAGAAGGGTGGTACACAGACATACATGCAGGCAAAACACCCATACACATAAAATAAGAAAAACATACGTTTTTTTGATATATGATACATACATATATATGACAGCATGATATATGATATAATATAGTGACAGATATAAAGTCTTCATCTTTACAGCTCAATGAAATTAAGTTTTTGAGACAGTGTTTCATGTAGCCTAGGTTGACTTCAAATTATTGTGTGACCATGAACTCCTGATTCTCCTGATATCCCTTATTTGAAGCCTGTACCATAACATCCAACTTCAGTGGATTTTTCTGAAAATCTGTTTTTACTTATGTGTATGTGTGTGTGCCCATGTATACTTGGAGGCCCATGGAAGCCAGAAGAAGTTGTCAGGTCCCCTGGAACTAGAGTTACAGGGAGTTGTAACTCCACCAAGCATGGGTGTTGGAAATGAACTCAGGTCCGTCTGCAAGAGCAGCAAGTGCTGTTATCTTCTGAATTATCCTCCCAACCCTCCTCATTGGGTTTAAAATATAGAAATACATATGTGTCCATTACATAGGTTGCAACTGTACAACTTCCAAAACCCTGTACCATTTCCTGAACAGTATAAAGGTAACCACTATCTTGATTATCCCCCATTAGTTTTTCCTTTTCCTGCATCTGGCTTTTTCACTCAACAGTGTTTTTAAGTTTATGCTAGTTACTGTATCAGTAGTTCACTCTTTAACTCCTGTGTAGATGTACCACATTTTGTTCTTTCATTTTATTATTTAAGGACTTTTGGAGTGCTTATGGTTTTTTTCCCTTAGGATTAAAATGTCTATGGACAGTATCCCATTTATGTGTCTTTTGGATCATGGCTCACATATCATTATGAGTTATTACTGTTATGTCCTCTTGGGGAATTTCTCCTGGAAAGAAGATAGTTTTTGAATCTTTGCCAGCTTGAAAATGTCTACTCTCATGTGTGAATACTATCTTTGTTGAGCACAATATTCTAAAACTAATGTTCTGCTGTTACTGGAATCCTTTCTTATCTTCTAATACTTAGGATTTCTGAACAGAAACCAATGCTGTGTGGGCTCTCTATTTTTCTGTAAGGGCTTTTGGTTGAGCTTATCGTTATTCTTGGCATCTGAACAATATAAGGCAATGGTATGTCTTTAATCCTGTCTAGATATTGGCTGTGTTCTTAGAAATAGGAAGTTGCATACCTAAGTAAATAGTGTAATGCCACTGATAACACATTGATAAGTTATTATAATCTGTCTGATTTGTTTGCAATGAGAATATATAGAATATGCAGGAGCAATTGATGGTATAACCTTTAGCCCTCTTCGAATATTTTAAAATCACATATATATTTATCCTGAAGAATATGCTAAGAGATGTATGATCTTTAAGGATGGTGGTTTTCTGATTGTCTATGATGAAGAAAGACATTTTGTTATTTATAGCATTTGCATGTAAATTGATTATCCATTGCAATCATTTTTATTAGACATTGCTCATCAGACCAGACCCTGAGCCCCATTAGGTATGTTTTTGAGGTAAAACAAAGGCACATGTAGTAAAGAACTGCTTGTCTGTGACTGAATGAAGCCATGTGAACAGTCTTCATGCATTTAGGTAATGCATTTATTTATGGCCCCCAAATCACTTCACCTTTTTTAAACCACCTTTGTGATTTATCTCTAAAGGCAAATAAAATGGAGTTTTGACTCTACTTCCATGTTGATTGTGTCTGATGAGTTTCTTTAACAAATTTCCTGGTTTAAAATAAAAGCTGGCGTTGGGGATTTAGCTCAGTGGTAGAGCGCTCAAGTGCAAGGCCCTGGGTTTGGTCCTCAGCTCCGCATAAGTAAGTAAGTAAATAAATAAATAAATAAATAAAATATAAGCTGTGTCTTTAAAGGTGTATCTGTAATTCCAGTACTCAGGAGGCAGAGACAGGAGGGTGAGGCACAAGGGTGAGCAGTTCGAGGTCATTCCCTGCTACATGGTGAGTTTGAAGTCAGCTTGGGATACATGAAACCTTGTCTCAAAAGAAAAATAAGGCTGCAGTTGAAAGACTACAAAATCAGCTTTACCTGTAGAAATTTCCCAGTATGAATCCTCCAACATTGAATACCTAGAGCAAGAAGCAAGAATACCTAGAGGCTTTTTTATATTGATTACACAGCATGCTTCTCTCAGTATGAGTTCTCTGATATTGCCTCCTAAAGGCTGAGTGTTGTCTAAAGCCTTTTTCCACAATGACTAATGACTAATGACCGCCTCCCTCAGTGCCCCTCCCCAGTGCATATTTCATGATGCTAGAGAACAACATATCCACTTAGGGCATTTTTCCTCTATATGACTTTTGAAATGTACTGAGAGAAATCTTTCCTGGGAAAGACTCTTCTATACTTAGCACATTTAGAAAAAGTCTCTCTTCTGAGAGTTCCCTCACAGGTCTAAAGGGCTGTGCCTTATGGAAAGATGTTTTTACATTTATATGAATGCTATCCAGTATGACTTCTCTAATGTCAAAGTATGCTTCACAAAGAGATTTTTTTGATTTTACACTTGGGCTGTCTATAGTGTCTGTCACTGGTCCATTCTGTTGAGTCAAAGATGGTAGGAGCTCTGTATAGCCATTACCATATTCCTTGTATTTAAATAGGCTCCTCCTCCAGGAACTATCCTGCATGTACTGAGGTTTGGGTTACATGAAAACTTTTTTTTGATGCATATATTTAATTTACATGATTTCTAAAAAAACACACACAAATAAAAAACACCAAAAAAAAAAAAAAGTTGTGGTGGAGCATACCTGTAATCCCAGCACCCAGGAGGGAGAGGCAGGAAGATCAGAAATTCAAGATGGTCCTCTATAACTCATTTTTAAAAATTCAATGTGTTAGTCAGTAGTATTCTACTACTCCTTATTCTCTTGCAGTGTATGCAGTAAATAATTATTCTGCATAAAATAAAGTTCAGTATGTCACATTCCCTTTGCTAT